TTGCCAAAATTGGAATGCAATTTAATGCACCTCATCAAAGCTGGGAAAGTGTTTAAAAATTAGTATTTCAGCAACAGAAGCAGGTGTGAAGGAAATTAAATGGCGCTTTTGCTTGACTGTTCACACATGAAAGAGACAGAGGAATTGAGCTGTCTTAGGATGCTTGTACATTCTCATAATTGGCCAGTACAACCACAACTCTTTTCTCTCTGAGCTGCAGGTCAGTGCCTGGCAGTTCAGGGTCCCATGACAGACTCTGAAACCTTGGCTCTGTTTAACATCAGTCCGAACTGTGTGATTTAGGCCTGTCTTCAGGCTTCTGGGGTTTGTTGTTTTAGTCTTTCAGACAACTCAAGTCAGATGCAGCTTTTTCTGCTGTAAAGCTATCAGGGGTGAGAGGCATTTAGTTTATCTCCAGGTTTATTGTACACGCTTCTCTTCCTTGACTTTAAACACAGGCCATCCTTAAATATTTTATTACAGTGCAGAGGAAAAGTTCTGGCATGATAATGTCAAAAAGTTGCAATAAAAGTAAAAATGTGAGGGGATGTGTACCTGAGTGTTCCCTTGCTACTTGGAGCAGTTGTGGTAACTTCCATGCTTCTATTTAAAATAAATAAAAATAAAAAAGCCTAACTATAAAAGCAGGTATGAGGTAATTTTAAACTGAAGGTACTTTTTGGTGCAAGCTGGGAACCTTGAAACAGGATGCTGTTAGGAAAGAAAAAGCTCAGTAGATACGCTTGCTGCTGGAACCAGCACTTTCAAATTCCAGGCTTAAAGACATTATAGAGCCACAGAGTTGTTTCAGTAAATATTTATGATCCAAAGTTGTTTGCTGTTTGGGTCTTTTCCTGAGGCCTTCAAAGAGCCTTTGTGTGTGTTCATTTTGTCTTTAAAAGCAAAGAGCCTTGGTGTGTGTTTGGTCTCAGTTTGAAAGCAAAAAAACCCCACTGTATTTGGAATGTTGAAATGTGGCAGTTTCTCCCTTGCTCTTGTCACGATGGTTGCTTTCTGCTTCACAAGCCTCTTGATAAGAATTGCAGGCAGGTGGGAGGGGAAGAAGCAGAGCTGGTGCTTGGAGTTCCCCTCTAGCATAGCACAGCAGAACTATGGCTTGTCAGGTCTGTACAGTGTTATTTAACACATCATAAACACTCTGAAATGCCCTTTCCAAGGTCAGATACCTGCAGTAAATTCTGCAGTGACATTTCACAAACGTTCTGACAGAATGAGCGTGGAAAACAAAGGCTGGTTTTGAGAGAGCTTGGTAGCCCCAGTTCATTCCCACTCCCAGTGATGGTGATGTGGTCTTGCATTGGGGCTGTGTGAACTCAGTATGAGCAGCTCTCATGGCTTTCAGGCTGCCAGTTGGCTACAGCTGATGGAGGTGTCCACGAATCTTACATAAGTCCTGATTAGGATATTGCATTTCAAGTGGTGTTTGGCCACTTCTGCAATTAGCAGGTGGCTGTAATGATTGGGCTCACTGAGATAGATGCTCCTGTGTGTATGGCTGGGGTGACAGCAGGATGGGGCAGTCCCAGCCCCAGAGTGACAGGGAAGCCTCCCTGTGGGTGACTGTTCTTCCTTGGCTGTTCTTCAGACTTCACCAATAAGCACATGCAAAAACAGAATAGCTTGACTAGAAGACCAGCAGAGAACTTTTGATCTCAAGTATGAATGTGATCCAATGTCTTTTGGTGTAAGAGTGTATAAACACTTGCCTGTCCCAAAAATGTCCGTGATATTTCACCTCTTAACAGAATTAGGGTTTGTAGAGCATTTCACATTCTTCCCATCACCTCTTTGTGAGATACCTGACCTCACAGATAGCTGCAAAATCTTTTTTTTTCCCTATGTGCTTACTGTGGTAGTCAGTAACTCTGTGTGGCTCTGCCAGCGTGGGGCAGAGCTTGTGATCTCAAAAGCCCAAAGAGCACTCATGGCTTATGTGTTTGGGCAGATGTGTTGAGACATTTTGCTTTGTGATGGGTTGGTGCTGGCTGGCACTTGTCACCCCTAAAGGGCTGTTGGGGGGCTCTCATTAAGTTACTGGGTACTGTGACAAAAAGTCTAAAAGCTGCTTATAAACACAGGGAGGATGTTAGGACTGGTCTTGCCTTCCTTTTTCTTAGGTTTATGCTTTAGCCTTAATTAACTGAGCTATGTTGAAAGCTTCATTACAATTTGACAAATCTGCTTTATCCTGAATGAAATAAAGGAAGCAGGATGTGGCTTCCTATCCATTCTCAAGTACACTTGGCCACACATTACGAAGAAAAGGGAGAAAGCTCTTCTCTAAAATACTGAGTTCCTCTTCTGGAAGAGCATTGTCTAATTAAATCCTGCCATGAAGGAGCAGGTCAATTGAGCAGGGCATTTTGATTTTTTTTTTTTACTAAAATTTTTGGCTTTCTGAGGATTCTCAACTGAAATGACATCGTGTAACACTGATGTGCTGCGGCTAAAAGATGAGGGGGATGGAATTGGGGATGATGTTTTGCCCTTTTAATAGATGAAAGAAATCAAGGTCATCTAAATGAATCCGGGGAATTTACAATAACAAAGAGATACATCAAAGCATGGCATAACTTTATCTTTCTAACATTTGTAAAACTCAATATTAATATCATTCAACTTAAGGAGTAAAATTTGGTGTGCACGTGTCAAGTGCAGCAACTCCTCAGACAGCATCATGAAATTGAGCTTTTTCAGCATTTCATCAAAGGTTAATTGCGCAAGTTTTGCTTTTTGTTAATTAATCCATTTCCTTCTTTGCACGTTCTGGAGGAGTTTGCAAACCCCAGAATACACTGTCTCAAACTGACAGCTATAGTCAGCCTTTAGAGAGTAATTTATAAGCTATTGCTCTAGCTTTATTGTATGATCTTCAGAAGAGAAGAAAATATTTGGAAATCTTTAAGGGATATTTTTAGGATTGTTTCTGCTGCTTCTTATTTGGGTAAATTGCATTTTCTTTTCAACAAGATCTCTCAAATAAATTGGAATTTGGCTCTTAAATGGAGTTGTGGGAACAGAAGACATAAGATCTTTTTGCAGAAAATGCTGAAATAGGTAGAAATCAAAATAACCTAAGAAGGAGGAAGTTGTTTGACCTGAATGCTGCTCTCACTGGGCTGTGGGGAATTTTCTATCCAGAAATTCATCCCAGTAGAGTGTTGCCATCTGTATGTGCATAGAAAATATGTTCCATAGCAGGCTTGTAAAGGGACTTGGTAGTCCAGGAGACCTAGGTGGGTGTCCAGCTTGCTTCAGAACTTGCACGCTCTTCCACTGAATTGTAGGATGGAAGTTTCTTCCTGATCTTAATTCCCCCTTTGAAGTGCTATTTTTAAGCTTAAAGTTACTGCTTTGCACATCTAGTGAGGTCTGTCTGGTCAATTGATTATATAGTTTTATATAGTATCTGATACAATATTCTTCTAAATTTAGGAAAAAGAAGATGAGACTTGAGCACAGTAGAACTGATTAGTAGAGCTGAGTGGGAAGTGATTCTGCACCTGAGGGTGGTGAGCATGGAAAGGCTCTGCAGGGCAGTGCTCAAGGCTCTGGGCTGGTTCAAGAAGTGTTTGGACAGTGCTCTCAGAAATAGTTTCATTTTTGGGTGGTCCTGTGTGAAGCCAGGAGTTGGACTCAGTTCTTGTGAGTACCTTCCATCTTGTGATAGTCAACTCTGTGATGTCACACTGCAGTCGTCTTACTTAGGGTCTGAAAACATGCTGCAGTTAGCTATTGTCACGCTGTTCTGGGTTGCGGGATGGAATAAGACATTAAAAAAGTGAGACACTGCATGGATGTGTAATTACAGAAGCATAGAGAATAAAGGAAGAGAACTGGTGCTGCCCAGGAAACCTTTGTAAAATGCTGTGCTCATAAAGACGATACAAGTGTTTAGTTCTAATTCCTGCTCTTTGTTACTCGCATTTCAGAGCTGGACAGACCTACCTGAGCAGGGACTGGCTTGGGTCTTTCCTAGAACTGTAATTTCCTCCATGCTTAACAACTGTCTTGTTTGTGGCCTTTGGCCAAGAAACTGGTGTGAGCAGTGACTTTTTTTGCCAGCCCTAAGTGTCTTCTACTGCTGTAAAGATTTCTGCAAGGCTATCCCGATCTCTTCAAGGTTGCACAGTGCTGCTGTTATAGCATCTGTGGTAAAATCTGCATGTGATGAAGCTGAAGCAATGCCCTTTGTGTCCATGCTAGTCCTGGCAAGCCGCCTCCCTTAGCTTGATTCATACCACGAGTTCATTGTTTGGTGATGCTGTAGCTGAAATAGAAAAAGTGGGGTATGTTATGATGCCCTTGCTGGTAAACAAGATTCACAAGTGGCCATCTAAAATTACAGGGTTTTGAGAGCACTGAAGGTTTACATCTTGTAACTTGTTTCCAGGTGTAAGCATTCACAATGCGTTTTTCATGCATTTTGGAAATAATAACATTTAATTTCCTTGAAAACAACACCAGCTGAAAAAAGGGCCTCGTGTAGTTTAGAAAAAATATTGTGATGTTTTGATAGTGACAATCAAATTTTACATTGGCAATTAAATGAGCAGGTTTCCTTCAAATGGCAAGCCAAATAAACTGAGCCAAGAAATATTTGAATTAATTTTCAATTTCAATTAACTGTTCTTTTTCAGGGTTGATAATTCATTTGCTTAGCTCAGTTTTGCTGGTGTTGGTCAGTTTTACTGACTGGCCCCCAGTCAAATTTTGGAATTCATTGAGGTTGAACAGTACAACACGATAAAATTCCTATTGTTCGGGATTATTAAAATGCAAATAACTTCTTGAAATACAGTTTGTGCTTTGCCACATGCTTTGTTGTACTCTTGTATTGATCTTTTAAAATTGAAACCGATTTAGTAAATGTTAATAACCATTTAGAGTGTCCATATAAAATATTTCCATAGATACCATATGTGCTTTGCCTATTTTCTTATATCTAAAAGCTTTGTGTTCTTCTTTCTCAGGAACAGGATTCTCTGGATGAGGCCTGAAAAGACACAGCATGTTCCCAAGTTACATGCAAGTTTTGCTGTATACCTACATTTTGATTGGCACCAGCATTTGAGAGATCTGTTGAGAAACAAATCTGCTTCTTCAAGGTAAGGCACCTCTTCAAAATAACCCACTTCAGAGGCACCCGAGGGCGTCATAATTCACTTTAGAAAAATTGTCACTGCGATTTCAGTGGTTTCCTTTTCAGCCCCATGTTTTTGTGAAGGTGTCACATCAACAATTGAGTATTGAGATGCAGCAGTAACTGAACACTTCCCAGTTCTGTGTATAGATCTTAGAAAATGTGGTGATTTCCCCTACAAAACAAAGAGAAAGCGAGTTAGGTAACAGTACTGGTTGCTAGCTTCTCAACTGTGCTTGTACCAGAGTTTTATGTAAGTGTATTTTACAGTGTTCTCCATTTTACTCAAGTTGAAATTCCAAAGCTACTTTCTGAAAATAAGTTTCAGAAAAAAAAAACCACTTTTTTCTTCTGTGTTTTTTTTTTTTTTTAAATTCCCTCTCTCTGTAGAAATAAGAGCCAGCCTACTTAATATTTTCAGCCCTCTGGGCAACTACTGTTTATATTACTAAACCACAGGGAGCTGGTCACTCCCACTTCTACATGACTGGCAGGTAATCTGTCTGCTCCACCATCTTACTAATAAACTGCTTGTTTATGTATTAAGAAGTCAAATGTCAACCAGACTTTGAAAGGAATCTTTGCTTTCCCCATGTTTTAGCTTTTGTCTGTGAAAGCCCCTGGGTAGGGCAAAGCACTGCCCATCTTCTGTAGGTAAGACTGGGTCTGTTAGGTAACAGTGATGAGAAAGGTTTTTGCTTTCCTGAAAATGATTTTAAATTGTTTTATACTACCTCAGCCTCATCTAGATTTGCAAGAAAATAGTATAGACCCAGACTGAATCTCCAAATATACAAAACATTTAAGTAAAACTGGCATTTGTCTTATGAGAGAAAAATTATATTAGCGATGCAGTACATGTTTACTAGGTACCAAAGCAACTTTTTTCTAGGCTTGGTATAACCCTCTATTTGTAAATTGTATTAATTTGAAAGGACAGCTTGGTTTGAGCGCCCTCTAGTGACAAACGGCATTTTGGTTGAAGCGTCTTAAAATCAGCCGCAAAGCTTGGCTGCTCTCTGAGAATGACTGAGATCTCTTGCCCTGGTGCATTGTAGCACACGTGTCAGGATACTCACTGGGTATTCTTCTAGTGAATTTTGAGAATATAAGGAAATAATCTGAGAAGATGCAGCTGACAGAATTTGTACGATTAGATCCAATCTAAAGCAAAATTTGGCAACTAGAGGTGCCAGAGCTTTGCTTCCCATGTATGTATTCAGAATCAAGGGTGGAGTTTGCAAGTGAGAGTTGCATCTGTCACTTTCTCAGCTGGTGTGGTTTAGAAAGATACCACATTGTTCTGCACAAGAAGTGTGATGTCAGAGTGGGGCAGGTACTGCAGTGTGGCACTATGCTCAGGGGAGAATGGCTCCCAGCCTCTTGTAAAGCCTAATGCTGCTGCTGGGGGCCATGCTCCTGGAAAGCATAAAATCAGAGCATGTTTTTAATGGGTCATAATTATAAAACTGGCTCTGAGAGCAGATATCATTACTGCATCAGCTTAAGAGAACTATGGCTTTAGGACAATATAATGAAGGTATTTTGTTGAGAAACGTCACCAGTAAATTGAATGGATCATGTGGGGACAGTTGCATTTCTGACTGTGGATGATGATGCTAGAAGAGGCCTTAAGTTTGTACTGCCTTTTAAAAAACTTCTCAGAGGTGTGGCTGTATGGTGGTTGCTAAGGGTCCCGTGCTTCTAATTGATGAGTAGATAGATAAGGAAAACATTCTGAGCAGTAAAATAAAGTGTATTCTCACTTTTCATTGAAGAGCCTGTTTTTCTCACTTACTAGTTGCTAGCACAATAAAAACTGATGATGGCTGGGATACTTTACAAAGCCAAAGACCCATCCAGTTATATTATAGTATATGGTGGCTGATTTTTTGTTCTAGGAGGCAGATAAGGAAACACTGTGCAGCATGAACTATGTGCCAATAACAGAGCTATTGACACTTCTCTCATTGCTGGTGTCCTGCCTTGAGCCGTGCTTGAATGTTGTCATACATGAGAGGTGCAGGCAGTACACGTGCCAGGCTTCAGCTATGGAAACACTCTGATGTGCTGCTCATGGTGGTAACTGAGTGCCATAAGAACTCCTGGTATGTCTGCTGTTAGAGAACTGCCTTTTCATACTGAAGGCCACAAAAGCTCACTGCTGGGATCCTCAGTACAGGCAAAAGAAGCCTTTCTAGTATCCACACTTGAAGGAGTATTAGGATTGTGCTTATCTTAACTGCAGGATTTTGAAAATAACTCAGCAATTACAGTATGGAAATGCATAATTATGCAATATTTATGATGTTTATCAGCTGAAATTAGTACAACAGCTTCTCCATGACATGAAACACTAAGCAGTAGAGTTTCAGGCCCTCATTTTTATTTCATTGCACCATCTAGTGGCCGAATGCACTCACATACTGGAAGTGCCTATCACCTGCACTAACTTGCATATCACTGCTTGTTTGCCAAGAACCTGAGGAAATTCAAATAGATCAGTAGAAATTCATAAATTGTTTTCCTCCAAATGTTGACTGTGGGAATGGTGAGGTCTGAGACACCAAATGCCAGCATCCTGTACACCTGTATGGTTGCTTACCAGTGTGGTGAACAGATTCTCCCTTTGAATGGGGTTTTGATGAGACAGGCTGATAAAATGTTTTTCTAGCACTATTTATGATGATAGCTGGGTTTCCTGATGCAATGTGGTGGTTTGCTGTTGCTGATATGCAGACAGATAAGAAAGAAGTTGATGCAGTTGTGTGTGTCATTTAGGTTAGTGAACCTGTTGAAATACAGTTAACAATACTGAACTATTTTAGCATGTAAAAGTAGAAATTATGGGGGAAACACAGGCTTTTTTTTCTTCCTTAAACAAAGATTAGGCTTAATTTACATTTAACAAGGATCTATAACTGTTGTTCCTTTCTATGATTTGCTGTAATGGTGTCTGTCTTCTAGGGATCATCAAATGCTTTTCAGATGAAGCAGTTACTGTACTTTCTGTAATTCTGCTGCCTCATCTTAATTGTGATGTCTGCATCTTTCCTAGAAAAGTAGCATTGAACATTCAGTGTATCTTTTAGTTAAAAAAAAAAAAAAGCCAAAAAACAAACAGAAGTAATTGGTTTAATATCTGAGTAAATTTTTGTATTGAATTCAGTTTGAAAGAAGCTCAAACAAGTTCTGTGCCTGTTACTAAAATGACAATCAATGTAAAGTACTTCTGTTACCACAATGGAGGGTATCTTAGAGCCAGTCCGGGTAACAAGTCAAATGTTATGGTTGAAACTTGATCATACAAAGGGTTTTATTCCTCTTCAGGAAAAGCAATGACCAAACTTAAGCCAAAATGCTTGTCCCACACTGTGCACTACCCTTTTCATCACTTTCCTTTGAAGGATATAGCTAAGGAAATGTGGATTTATCAAAGATTTATCCAGAGAAAAGGAAAAGCTTCATCAAATTAATATTTGTAAGCTTACTTTCATCTTTGTAAGCTCAATCTGTTCTACCTCACCTGAAAAGATCTTTTAATCAGAAGCCAGGTACACTGTAGCATACCTGGCCTTGTGCAGAAAGAGGGACAAGCTGACTGAGAAGATGGCCTTTGCTTTGACAACAACACACATGGTGCAGTGGTACAGAAAACTCTGGCTCAGCAAAGTTTTGTTTTTTTAATAAAGCGTTCTGGGAACAGAAGGAATCTCAGACCTTATAATGCAGTGTGCATCGCCTTTGTAGTTTCTGGAGAAAAAAATCAGAATGCATGTATAGAATTGTAGAGTAGAATCGTCAAGGTGGAAAGGGCCTCCAAGATCATCTAGTCCAACCTTCTACCTACGCCCAATATTTCCCTGTCTTTTCTGGGTTTACAATAACTTTTGAGTTGGAAATTCAGATTAGTAAGAAAGTACTGAAACAAAATATTTCATGAAAAAAATGTTCAGTTTATCTGGCCTACATTTTTTTCTTGTTGATGGTGTTATGAAGATCTTTGTCTTTTCACATGCTCTGCGAGGACAGGGGCTGATTATTGCTGCTCTTCTGGTTTTATGTGGGTTTGTGGGAAGAGGGAATGGGGCAGGTCTGATCAAAGCTATTGCTGCATATGCTGTGTCAGTAGCAGGCTCTCTACACCATCCTGGGGCTGTAAGAGTGTGGAGGTGTCCGGTGCTCACAGGAGGCAGTGCATGGGAGGTGTCCTCAGGCTGGCTTTGTCGTGAGCTGGTAAGAATTAAATCTCTTGTTTCTTCAAATTTTGCCCAGAGAGCAGTGGTTTTGTTTCAAACACAAATGGCCCTTTCAGAAATGTTCCTGAAGCACCCTCTTTATTTTTAGTTTCCGTAGTGGCTGTTGAGCAGTTAGATGGTAATAGTATTGAGGAGGGTATTTGGTCATCAAGCTGTGTGTTCAGCTCTTCATTTCTGCTGTGGCTCCAAGTCTGCTGAGTTTGGCATACTGAGTTCAGAGTTGCCTGAGCACCACGTGCAGCATGCTATCTGGTGAACAGTGAGGTAGTGATACCTGCTTGGCATACCTCATTGTCTAAGAGAAAACATTGCATTTTACACGAGCTACATCACTGTTCTGCTCTGCGTGATTCTGGGCTGAGCTCTTCTCTCAGTGGTTCAGATTTGGGTGTCTAGATTCATTTCAGCGTGAAATGTCAGGATGTCAAGCCCATATTGAATGCATTGGAACCGAAGAAAAACATTTCTGCAATGCAAGGGTTTGCAGAAGCAGCTTCACATGCGGTTCTACTCCAGAGCCTTGCAGCCTCACATGTGCCCCACAGGCAGCCCTTGCTGTGTGGGTGGATGCAGCTGTGCTGCTGGACCACGGGCTGGTTTTTTTTAGTTTCTGCCCTGTGAAATTCTCTCCTTTCTTTTCTGCCGTGTCTGAAATCAGTTGAGATGGATAACTGCATTGTCCATACTGCAGTGCCCGCTCTAAGGG